AAAATCTCCACAGACTGGATACTGTTAAGTATGGTCTAAAACAAGACTATTGGTTCTTATCTCATTACTTAGATTAGCTGTTATAACCCCTATGTCCCACAATGAGTTAACTGCTTTGTTTTTCTCTCCTACCCACCTTGCCTCTCTCAGAAATTCCCCTTTTTCCTCCCCCTTCCCTACCTTTTGTATTCTAATCACTGCTGTGATTAAACACACATAGAAAGCTATGTATAATCTCTACTTCTCTCAGTCCCTGCACAGAATCTGATGAATTAAGCTTGCTGCTTATGAAAGATTATGTTATACATCTCTGATATAGGTAAGTCTGTAATGTACAAATCTACCCTGCCTTCTGAAATGTGATTGTACTTTGGCTTGATTTACAAAAAGGGTAATTAGTAAGGGAACTGTAATTGTCCCTGAATTCTGGGTCTAATCTTGAAAAGAAGTCCTGGTCATAGATGGGCCGTTGTCTTGTCTCTCAGAAGACTGAAAAGTACTTGGTTTTTGACCAGGAATGGCTAATGGTCAGCAAAATTGCAGAAGAACAAATAGTTGGAATAGTTCAAGTCCATTAAAAAGATAGGGGGTTGTTAATACCTGTGAAGTGGAGAGGGATTAGCAGGAATCAGGGGGAGGATAATGAGCCAGGAAGTCAATTGACTGTCTCAGCACTGACATAATAGAAATGCTGGTGCCCCACACATGCAGTCGGTTTTAAAGTTTGGGTGGAGCAGGAATCAAAGGGCTGGGGGTACCTTTGGCATCACTGTACCCACCCTGGAGGGTACAACTATACCACTGCTCCCCCCTTCTGCCCATAGATTTGTCCCTGGACATTCGCTACAGAGCAGGCTCCAAATGCACCGCAATAAAGAGACAGCTCTTCTGTGTCCCAATCAGAGAAAACAATGAGCAGCCCCAGTAGCACTTTACCCAGAGCAGAGCCTGGTTTTCAAATCAATCCTCTCAGAGCCCTGGGCAGTGAGGAGGAGAAGCAGAAATGTAGCTCATACATGGGCACAGTATTACCTACCCCCAAGGTAATTATCAGCCATAGTGAGAGTCAAGCTTTCAGGCCAGTCTATGCAGCCAACCGGCAGCCGCTGAATGTCACTTCCAGGGCTGGTGCCCATGCAGCAGCCCCATAGGTCTGCCCGTAGCTCCAGGGGCACAGCCAGGTCCTGGGATGTCAGCAGTAGCCCCAGAGATGCAGTGCCCATGGTGAGGCCTCAGGAGGTTCCTCAGGGCCAGAAGGAGCAGCAGCACCCAGCACTCTCCCAGGCCCTGCCAAAGGAACGGAGAAGTGAATGGTCCTGTCCTTTTGGTTGTCATGTGAAGCCTCAGGGTCTCCCCAGCAATAGCTGCGGAAGGAAGAGGATGTTCCATGGCAACAGACAGGCCTCCCCCTGCCAGTTCAATGAAAGCAGCAATGATTTCCCAAAAAGAGCACAACTACTCTTCTTAAACACAGTGTTGGTGGTATCAACAACAAAGGGAAGATGCAATAAAGAACTTAGGCACTGCCACACAGGATCAATGCCCCTTTTGGAGGGGAGGGGTAAACTCTACCCCAGGGCTCCCCGAGAAGCAACCTTATACAGTCTCCCTCTCCTGAGAGGCTCCCCTGAAGTCACCCTGGTGTGGCCTCTCAAGGGGCAAGCTTCTGGCTTTGAGACCCCTGCTCTTCTAGGTCACTGGCTTCCCCCGTAACCCATAGCACGCCCACCTCCACGAGCTCCTTCTTTTCAGTCAGTTCGTGGGAAGAGTGGGGTTTTCTTCTTCAAAGAGGAGGGGGGTCAGAATGCCGACATCCCCAACCACTCAACAGACTCTGCT